CGTGGACATGGCCATCACTGTTTTGCATCGTGATCAGATACCCTTGGAATTTGTTATGCGAAAGACACTGCACCTAATCACAGTGTATCATTTCACCCCTTGTTATAGGGGAGGACTCTGATGCAATCTTGTTTTGGAAAGGATTAATCTGTCCTTTGGTACTATTACTGTATTACTGTAAATATAAAATGCTTAGCTTGACTGTGGGGACTAGCCAGCATTTGACATTAACAGGAGATTAACTGCTTGTAGCTTTTTTTCTAGGACTAAAGTGGTCTCCCAGACATTCATTAAGCCTTCCTTAGTGTGCAGTCTGTGCAACTGCTTTCTCCAAAATAAGTTGATGGGATTTTTTTGTTGTTGTTGTTTTACAGAGTGGGAATTAATATAGAGGTAATAGTAAAATGAAGAAAAAAAATTATCATTTTTCATGCTGAATTGACTTTGTGCTTTCTCTTGAAAGACTGTGGATTTCTATTATAAATAAATCATAATACATGAAATAATTTTTAATCAGTTGTAGATTTAATGATGCATGAGTAACTGAGCTTTGTTCAGTATTTGTGCACAGAGAATATTGATAAATCTATGTGCTTACATTAGTCTTCCACTGACATTTAAAAATGTCTGACAATATATTAATATGCATAACTTCATAGTCACCTTGCTTATATTAATTCTGTATGTTAATAGTAATTCTGTGTGATAATGTTTTAGTTAGTTGAAACATACATGTTTAATTTCTGGTTTTGGATTTTTCCCCTGTCTCGTAAATCCTTCTATTACAGTGGTTTGAGGTACACATGTTAAAGATGCTGTGTTTCTTTCTATCTTACAGTTGCAGCAGCTCTCTGCAAGCCAGTCATGTCTTTGGCTACATAAGGGGCCACTCTGTTACAGTTTGGTACAGATTGAGAAATCTTGCTGCCTTTTTTCTTCTCTTTGGCCTTGAAGATGGGTCCATATGTAGGTTTGGGGATTTATGTGTTTTTTGACATAAGGCATAAGAATGTACTGAGTGCCCAGTGGTCCATACAACCTGACGCTCTGTCCGGTGCTGGCAGCAAGATACGCTGTTTAGGGAGAACATTGCAGTTCCTGCCATCTGCTTCCCCCACCATCTGCACATCTTCTCAGAGACGTATTATGCACTCCATCCCTGCCTGTTCCTTTTGATATCTGTGTATGGACCTGTTGTATGTGGATCTAAATAATCCTTTTTTTAAGCCTGTTTATGCCATCTGTGTCCACTGTTCCCTGTGTCAGCAAATTTGACTTTCTTTTGACTTCTCAAACCTTTCTGTTTCTTAAATGCTGACCTTTCCCCTGTAGAATCATAGAAATAGTTTGGGTCGGAAGGGACCTTTAAAGGTCATCTAACCTAAGCCCCCTGCAATGAGCAGGGACATCTTCAACTAGATCAGGTCGCTCAGAGCCTCATCCAACCTGACCTGGAATGTTTCCAGGGATGGGGCATCTACCACCTCTCTAGGAAACCTGTTCCAGTGTTTTGCCACCCTCAATGTGAAAAATTTCTTCCTTAGATCTACTCTAAATCTACCCTGTTTACCCCTTGTCCTATCGCAACAGGCCCTGCTAAAAAGTCTGTCCCCATCTTTCCTGCAAGCCGCCTTTAAGTGCTGGCAGGCTGCAATAAGGTCTTCCTGGAGCCTTCTCCAGGCTGAGCAACCCCAACTCTCTCAGCCTGTCCTCGTCGAAGAGGTGTTCCAGCCCTCTGATCATTTTTGTGACTCTCTTCAACAAGTCCCTGTCTTTCCTATGCTGAGGGCTCCAGAGCTGGATGCGGCACTCCAGCTGGGGTCTCACCGGAGTGGAGGGGAGGTCTTAAAAACCTGTGAGGGTGGTAAGGTGGATTGTTTATTGCTGCTGATTTGTTTTACTTTTGAAATGTGGCAAATATTTTATCTTTGCTGCTAATACAGGGAAATGTCTGGGCTTCTTGTAGGCTGCTTCCTTTTTTTGGGGACTGCTCATTCTAGAGTGTGGGGTTATGAAGGTGTTTTTTTTTTTTTTTTCTGGTTGTTGTTACTGGTGGGTTTTTTTCCTTCTCTTTCCTCTTTTTTAGTATTTACCCCATTGTTCCTGTCCTGAAATGAGATATTTGTGTACTGGATTTAGTTGGTGGTTTTCTCCTGCTGCACCACTAAATGGAATAGTACTGTAATTACTGCTACAGAGAGCCTTTCCCTGTAATGGTTCCTGAACAGTGCTTGTGTGCCACTGAAGGCCAAAGGCTACCTTTCATGTAGATTTTTAGCCTAGCTCTGTGAGGATGCCTAACTTTCATGTGGAATGATGGGCAAAGTGAAGGCAAACAAGCCTTTGTCTTGCAATCACCAGCTTTGATGAGTATAGTGATAGAGGCAGTCTTCTTAGCATTTAGGGAATGGTTTCAAAGAAATTGTTTGAACAGAAATTTGTACATATGCCTCGGCTAGGCAGAAGAAAGTGAACAAAAATGAATGTTCTGAAATGTTTCTGAGAAGCACGGCTTTTGAATGCAGCCTTCTTGTTTGGGTAGAGTTCCTTCATACTTTCAAAGTCAGTATGCACCTAATCTAAACTGTTTTCTGAACTTCGTTTTATAAAACAGTTACTGAAAATGCTTTTCTTCCATTTTAATCACAGAGGCTAAGACTTCTTACTTGTCATTGCTGAATTTCTTTGCACTTTTAAATTTCAGGCAAAAATCGACTACTATTCTTGCTAAGCGGTCATGCATTTAAATATTTTCAAATTGCTGAAAATAATTAAACTTTATTTGTTATGTTGGGTATTTACTTATCAGCTGCTGTTCTTTTACCAACAGAATTACTATTTGCATCCTCATAATTTATTTTTCAGTTCTAGCATTTTGCTTCAGTGCTGTTTGTCTCCTTATCCAACTACATAAGAGCCTATGAAAATGTTATAGTAATTCAAGTTTTCAGTTCAAGCAAAAATGTGTGTTCCTTTTCTGACAATAACCTCAAATGATTAAACTGATGGGGCCATAACCTAAAAGCTTTAATAATGTTTATTATTCAAACTGCTTTAGTGATTGATTTCAAGGTTAACTCGTGAATGTGAAGTTAATAGTTACAGGGATGCTGTGATCTGTGTAGATTTGGTGTGTGTCCCCGCCCCCAAGTTCAGTTAAGCTTAAAAAGCTGTTTCACAGTAATTTTAAGATTACATGATTAGTAGTTCCTTTGGTACCCAGTATAAAATGAATAAAATTGAAAATAAAAACAACATTATGCCTGTGATAGAGAGAGCCGTATTGGTGCCTTATGGGTTTGAACGTGCTTGTGAAAAGTTAAATCAGCGGTGTTACGGCTGATATGAGTCATTACTTAGAAAGAAGATAGTATTAATTCTTTTCTGGGAACAGCTTCCTTATTTTACAGGATTTTTATTTTCTATATACTGTTTTTCAAGGCGTCTTTAAACAGTAACAGGAATTTGATTCATGTCCTGTAGTCACAGTCTTTTAAATTACAAGGGAATAGGAAAAAAAACCAAACCACTCTTTTGAAAAAGTGTGCAACTTTTGGACAAATGGCTTGCTGTCAAAAAAAAAAAAAAAAAAAGGCTGAAACACCTTAAAAAAAAAAATTCATGCGCTTATCTTGGCTGCACAAAGAATCCTTGAGTTAGCTGGGATGCAAAGCTACAGCATTAGCTGTGAAGAGCAGCTGCCTGCAGTCAACAGAGGGCATTGACTTGGCCAGTTACTGAAGAGTAGATAATGGGCTGGATGTTCTCACCTCTGATTCCAGATAGCAAAAGTTGTTTCTGGCACTGTGTTTTTAAGAACTCACCAGGATTATATGCACTGTCATTAAAGATTAAGTAGTTTGTATAGTATAAATCACCTCTGAAACAGAGTATACTTGAAATAATCTTTAATCAGTTTAGAGGAAGGATGTGAAATGGTGCAAATGTTACAGTGCTCTTCGGGGAAGGGGGATATTGAGATTGCCTATTCTTGAAAGCATGTATTTGTAAAGTGTGCAAGAGGAGACAAAGAACAGAAGAGAGAATTTGGTTCTAAAATGCATCTTTAAATTAAACAGCAGGCTGAAAAGCACTTCCTCTTATTATTAAATTGTGAACGATAATTGGACTTTATGGATTACGCTGTAAAACTCCATCTTGTGGGTTCAGGTTGTTTTAATATTACAGTTTTTACCAGGGGCTTCTCTGCAGAGACTGTGTCACTTTTCATCTAGTTCTGGAATTTCTTTGTGGTATGGTATTGCTTCATCTTCAAAACTGTGATGTCATGGTTTCCAGTGGAGATTTCTCATGATGTATCAATTGGTGGTTGTTTAATACAAATTACAGAAATAGTGGTTTACGTTAGAATAGTGTATGACAGAGTAAGCAGTGTTTCTTTAGAGTAGCTTCTTTTTTCGTTCTGTACTGAGACACCTTTGGTTGTATTTAATTATCAGTAGAATTTATTATTCAGGCCCACCTGTGATGTTAATGGTGGGTTTCAGAGATGTTGGTTTCTAGAAATCAGTTTAATTTCAATAAAAGAAAAATATTTGATCTTTTCTCCATGTCTATTCTTTAAATCATTTCTGTAACCAAGTACTTTAATAAGATCATTCATTTAACCAAGTACATGCATTAATAAGGTAGAATCTCTTTGAACTTCAGTAACTTTTTAATCTTTGAATTAAGTTTAAAAGAATGAAATATTAGAATTTTTACCAATAAATTTAAAAATAAATTGAATAATTTGAACTAATGGTAGAATTAAGTGGAGACATTCCGACATTAAATATGATGATTTGGTATATTACATGAGATATTTTCACTTAATTTTTATGAAGAGTAGAATTTTTATGAGCAGTAATTCTGAAAAATATGAGTCTACTTAATGGAATCATTCTTCTTAAGACTATTTGTACTGTCATTGTTTTTTCGCCTTCTGATACCCTTTCTGGAATCTGGAAGCTTTGTACTCATTGTCATTTTTTTCTTAGTTTCAGCCCAGACTCTGAAGAGCAACCTTGATTCAATGAATCATCAGATAAAGCGCCTTGAAAATGACATTGAGAATTTCCCTAAAATACAAGATGAACATGATAAGTTTGTAGAAAAGATGAGCATATCCTTTTTGCATGTCTTCATTGGTGATCTGAACATTCTGATCGTCTGGTTAAGTATTTACAGCACTTCAAAATAAGTTTTAAGTCTCCTTTTCCAGGCTTTTATTCTGGTGCAGAGAAAAGCGTAACAGAACGTGCAGAATGTAAGAAAACATATAACTGAGTACAACTTCGTAATCAGACTTCCAACGGGGAAACCAAATAGCTTTCTTGAAGGAAGTAGTTATAGTGACTGGTCATGAAGATAGTAGTATATGGGTTTTTGTTTTTGTGGTGTTTTTTGTTTTTGTGGTTTGGTTTTTTTTTTTCCCCTCCCCTTGGAGAATGGTATTTAATGACAATTTTTGAATCATTTCAATCTAGAAAACCATCAGCAGTGGAGTTAAGAGTAATTATTATTTTAGCTTCAGATGTGTTGATTTTTCAGGGGAAGAGTATTAATTTTTGTGTTTGGGTTTTTTTCAACAGAACATTTTAGCAAAAAAATACTTACGTTTTTCATACTCGAGAGTGATTTGTCCTTTTATTTATGTAGGGAATAGAGACTGTGGGTTCTTTAAGCACTAGTAAAATAAAATCTGTGGGAGAATACCAAATAATGTCTGTCTAGCCCATTTTCTTCCAAAATTTTCATATATCTAGCTTTACTTTTGCTCAGAAGTATGAAATAACAAGTAAAGTATACTGTACATGCAAGAAGCTTACAACCTTGTGAGAAAGACTAAGTAAAAGTCCTTTTATTCGTAAAAGGACTTTGCAGGTTTTCATTTTGTGCAAAGCACATTTCTGTATATGTGGAAGTACTTGGAGTATGGTACGTGGCTAGGTCTAAGGCATTCTATGCATTTATAGAAGCTTGGAAAGTTCATGTGACATCTATTCTTTCATTTTGCAACCAGACATAAGTCATGGTTTCATGGGTTTTTCAAAGGAGAGAAGAAAAAAAAGAACAAAAAAAAAAAAAAGAGGAGATTGGTGTCTAGAGCCATTTGTAGCTGCTTATCACATCTAGTAAGTTGATGTAATGAAGAGGTTCTGCTAACTACTGGGTATATGGAAACTAAGTTCTGGTAGGATTAACCATCTGAATGCATTCAGTGACAGAAATTCACAAGAAGATATTAAGTATCTTCTCTTTCTGGATTTAAGTTTCTGACAAGACTGCAGGTAAGTAGCTTAAGGGCGACAACTCATGACTAATTGGAAAATTGTTTCTTGTTACTTATGTATTCTCTTCCACCCTGTCATATTTGCAAGGTTAGGAGACTCGCTAGTAATCACACTTACCCGTTCTGCTATTAAAGAAAAGCTTATGATTTTCCTGAGATACATGCACATAAGAAAATCTTAGAATATTGCCTTGTAATTGTCCTTTGCCTTGTCATCATGTGCGGAGGCTGAATGCTGTCAAGTAAGCCCCACTCCTGTTCATAAAGGCAACCAACATACTGAAATGCACCTTTTGCAACTGTTTTCTTGTTAAGCTTGACAGCTCTGTTCTACGCTTATCTATGTTATTTTTCGGTTGTGTTGAGTAAATGCTTTGCCATTTGTTGTTTTGCTACCTATGTATTTGCTGTACTTACAAAAATGATTTGCATCACTCAAGTGATTTGGTGAGAAAAAAGAGCCAAGTAGCTAATGTTTACCTTTTTCTGCTCAGTGGTTTATCAACTGAATTTCTTGTAGAAAAAAGATCATCTGACAATGTGATTGTCTGACAAAAGAGTTTAAAAAAAGTAAATGCACTAATGCTTTTTTTGTACTAGCAAAAATATAAAGATTCTCTGAAATTTATGAAAATTAATTGTTGGAAGTTTCCTGGGCAGCGTTGCTTCAGTGCACGTATGTTGATGTCACAACTAGATTTACCGGTTCCTCATAATTAAAATAGGCATCCTGAATTGTAGATGGTTAACAGCTTTTATCATGCTAGTGAATTTGGTGGCTTGACAAAATAGATAAGTCTTAAGAAATGAACTGATTCTGCCTAAGGATTTATGTTTTCATAATTAATAGATGACCTGATAAATGGTGTTTTTCTTTTTTAGACAGTCATCTCCAGTTATGTCAAGTGATCAACTTTGTTTCTGCTTGTAGGGAATATTCTTACGTTTTCTCCACCCTTGTATTAATTTTTTTTTTTTTTTGACTGAAGAATAAATAACAAGGCGGAGGGGGGGAAACAACATCTTAGTCTTCAGTATGTATTTCTTTTGTTTTTATCAGCTGTGTGAAGAATTGTTGTTGATAACGCATACTGAGATTAGAAAGTTAAAAAATTTCAGGCTGAACATCTCTCTCTCTGCTTGAGTGTTTCAGAAAAGTTGAGGCGTGTCTGAACATAAATCATCTCACAGTAGACAGTTTGAGGCTGCAGGAATTATACCATAATTAAAGGCATAGTTTCTCTTTCCTGTTCCAGTTAATAAACAAAACTGTTTACTAGTAACTGAGAGGAGCCTTTCTTGAGAAAATTTGAAAGGAGTATTGCTTGGTATCATACTAAGGTAGGAGATGAAGGACAATTAAAATACCATACATAATATTCATTTGTAATAATGAAATGAATTAATACTGTAATATAGAAGTAAATGCTATGACATAACATAATTTTATGTTTTTTAACTTTTTTCAGCAAAAAAGGTGAGTCTTTGGTACTGTGAGTGACAGAGAGATGAATAGAAATTCTACTTACATTTTCATATAGGATTTTTTTATTGACCTATTTCTAAACAGGCTAATTTTTGGTTTACCTTAAACATGTATTGTTGGCCACCAGAGATAGTGGATATCAGAATAAGGTTTACAGCTACGCTAGAACAGAAAGTAGAAGCGAATATATAATGTAGTTAAGCAAAAAAACCCACCAAAACAAAAAACTTTCAGTGAATTTCATGCTATATTAAATAACTTATGTGCGATTCCTGAGACAACTTTTTCATGATCTGTGAAGATCAAATTGCAAATTATTTAACTTTAAACATGGGGGCTTTCTTCTATAATTAGCCCAGCCTCATGCAGCACTGAGGACTCTCATTCAACAGTTTGGAAAAGTAATTACGACTATGACGAACCTGGCTTTCAGTCCTTGTTTTATTTCAGTCTCTGTGCCTCTAATTGAACATTTTTTTTAAATGGAAAACTCAGAACTTTATATTCACTTGCCGTAGGAGTATATGCTGTTTTCTTAGTGATGTTAAAACACAAGTGTCTAGTTGGGGACTGAGGAAGATACTCAGATTAATGGGGTTTAACTTTAAATGTTATTAAGAAAGATTAAAGACAACAGAAGGAAAAGGTATTTCAGAGGGAGTAAGGGAAAGTTGCACAGAGTTAACTTACTCATTCATCTTGATCTAGAACTATAGCTACATAAATAATAAATACGACCTTTTCTCACCTCCCAGCGCGTGCACGCACCCCCATTGACAAGCGTTTAGTCCTCTGGAAACTAGGCAGGAGCTTTCTTCTAAGAAGGGAGAACTGCTAGAGCTTAGGGTGGCAGGAGGGCACGCTGTTTGATCGCTGGCCATTACAGAATCACAGAGTCATTAAGGCTGGAAAAGACCTTATAAGATCAAGTCCACCCACCAACCCAACACCACCATGCCCACTAAACCATGTCCTACGGTGCCAATTAAGTTCATTCTTTTTGTTATCCTGCTAGTTAGAGAGACTGACTTCTTGCTGTGTTGCTATTGGACCATTATGTAGTTTGTAAACAATCTTACATTACTTTATATTTATAAACTATCCTAGATGTACTAGTGTATCCTTAAATGAAGATTTTTGCTTAGTTTCTCTGTTTTTTAGCTGTATCATTTACCCTAGTAAAAGATATTAACGTGCCTAATCCTGTTAAAATCTTTTGCCTACCAGAGCGATATATGGTGCCACTTTTTTCTAACTGATTGCATACATGTGAAGAATTAAAAGCTTACTTTTAAAGAATTGCAAAATTAAGGGAAACATGGATGAAAGGATAAAAATTACTGCAGATAAAAAATTTTCAAAGCAGTGTGTATTCATCTTACTAAATGGAAAAAGAGCAGTCTGTGAACTAATTTTAATTTCTAGAAAGGAACAGCATTCATTAAAACGGGATCCTTTTTATGAAATAAAACTGCCTTCTTGAAAGGCATATATTCTCACTTGATATATATTTATGCTCATAGTTTTATCTAATAATGACTATTGTCACACAACTAAATACAAGTTTTATTAGTTCCTTACTTCATGTACTTCAGTGGTAGTGAAATGATCTGGGGAGAAGTCTGCTCGAAGTGTGTGTGGGACTTTCATGCCCTGAGAATGTTAGGAAATATTTCATGTGCGGTAAACACCAACTGATAATTCTCTTGTACAAACGACTGTACTGCAGAATCTCTTACAGCACACCACTGAGGAAGAAACAAATATGTTCTGAATCGGAATCTCAGCATCTGGAAATGGCTGTGAACCTTTTTTCCCCCTCTTAGAGTGACTGAGCAGCAGGACATCATTTACACACTGACGTGGAATGCTGAGAGAATGTTAATGGCATTAACACTCTTGTTATCTGTTAACACTTGGGATTTCCTCCTAGCTTGCTATGGAAAAATAATTCACTTGAAGTGTTTTGAGATGTCGTTTTTAGGAAAGCCTGTTTTTGTTTTTCAGACAATTTGAAATGCACTCGTACCTTCATTTCTGCATGATTGTATAGATCAATATCTGAATTTGCTCTTTATTAGGGGCTTCTCAAAGATAACCCTAGAGGGGGAAAATCTCTATGAAGTTTTGTATATGCCCCTACATTTGAAGTAACTATCTTTTGTCTGAGATCATTTGAATGTATTGTTAAATGTAGAGGCATTTTTCCCAGTACTTCAGGGACCAGAAAAGAGAACCATTCCACCAGTGATTTTTCTTTCAAATTCTAGGTCATGTATAATCCTCAAGACAATTTTTTACATGTGCCTTTCCTTACAATATTTATATAAAATTTTGTTCTTGC